CTGAGCTCACGTTCAACTCAACCTGGCACGCCCCCCCCGCCCGCCCCTTCCACCGCTCCAGCCAAGCGACAGCGGAGTGGCGGTGGCCGCAGAGGCAGCCAGGGAGACACGGAGGGCCCTGCTTGTGGCTGTTAGAGTGACGGCAAGGGGACAGCATGCTCGTTTTTGTCTGTCACAACAAGTACCAATAACCTTCTTTTTATTTATTCATGTCTAATTAAAACAAAAGAGCAGGCTTTGAGGAAGTCAGCGAGGGCTTAGAGGGAGCGGGCGGTTTGCGTGCCGAGTGAGACGCGCAGTGGAGAAAACCACAGCTCTTTCAGCCGCATACTCAGGGGGTTACTCACTGCATTCTTTACTTCACACACAAACACTGGAGCACGGCTGTTACTTTTGTCAGTATTTTGTTCTTGAAAATATATTTGCGGAATACGAACTGGCATTTACTTTCCATTCGTATGGATTAAATGAATTACACCCTTTGAACTTAAGTGACCTAAACTGGATCTTTATTTTTAAAACCCCCCCACGATTGTCCCATAGTTAGCACCATTGATGCATTACCTAAGGTCAGGCAGCCAACATAAAGCAAGAGGCTCGCTGTGAATGGGAAAACCCAAGCTCAGTTAAACTTTAACAGCGTTCCCGTTGGATGGGTGGGAAGGAGACGAGGACATTGGGGCAGATCAGTAAATCTTGCCGCTGTTGGTGGCGGTGAGGGAGCTGTCGGGGGCCTTCCAAGGGAGTTTGAGGAGGTAATGAGTCCTTTAATTAAAAGGGCTGTGGAGTGAAGCAATGGAGCCAACGCATTACTCTGCGTTTAGACGGCACTGATGAATCAGCAGAACGTTGTTTTCACAAGCACTGGCCAATGATTGACTACAGTGCAAAGGCAGAGAATGATATTTCAATGCTCTGTAATGATTTTACGAAAACCATACGCAGTAGAATTGCTCACGTCCACGCTGATATGTCACTCATTGTCAAGCAAACATCATGAGCAAGAGTCATTGCAAGCGTGCCTGATATCTGTGTGGCATTGCAGACAACAGGAATCACCGTAGGAAAAATGTTACGGATTATTATTCACATGAGAAATGCCTGTGCAATATGCTACCAGTAACCAACAAAGCACAAAGCCACTCCTCCTGCCTACGGTGCGATGTTCAGTGAAATGTTGCGATCAGGGTTAGGATTTGTTTCAAGAATCGACTATTTCTTTTCACGATTTGGCGGATGGTAGCATCTCTTGTGGCTGCACACGTCATGCGAACACATTGTGAACAATGCACGTGAATCGACGCACAGTGATTGTCACCGCACGTGATTCAGTGCTTGTATCACGAGCTTAAGAATCAATACTTATCGATGAATCAACGCACCGTTGCATCTCCAGTTGACGGTAACGTGCACCCAAGGCTACGCTTGTGGCCAAATGGGATTTATACTCAGCAGCAGCAGCAGATTCTCTTTGTGGCGGTGTCTTCGGTCAACACAGAGCAAATTGAAGTCGGATGGAGTTGCGCCATTACATTCTGCATTTGGCCAATTTAAAGAACTATAGAGTATCTTGTCTCAATTGTGATTGGCAAGATACTCTACAGCTGTGGATACTTTCTCTGCTGACATTAATAACGGGGAACATTCGTGTTGATGCTTCCCGTTGTTATCGTGGAGTGGCGGGTGCAGTGGTTAGCAACTATAAGCCCAGCCACCTGGAGCTGTATTCCACGCCACGGCTAACATCAGTGGCGACTGCAATCTGTTCCCAGGCGTCTGTCTTCACAGCAACCTGCAGTGGCCACCACGGTGAAGGAGGGAAGGAAGGTCAATCAACCCCCAGGGGCTGACACTGAGATGGCAACCCTATCCAGCAGTGGATTGGCAAATGGCTGAAAGTGAATTTAATGATGATTTCTGTTTTATAAAAAAAATTTATGGATATAATAAAAATTGAATTTTCATCAAATAGAAATCTCAGAGGTTTATCAACAGCAGCAGCGCATTAAGCATGAACACGAATGCGTTCACAATGCCCTGGTAAGAATACTTTGTTCACGTAAAACTAGAAATTTATTTATCAAATATAGTAAGCAGTTAGTCACTAGCCAGTGACGCAACGGCATGCTTGGTAAACTGAGCATCTCTTAGACACAGTAGTGGCAATAAAATGAACCCCCTCTCTGAACAACTCGTACAGGGAGGGGGTACGCTCTCTCACAATAACAACAATAACAACAATAACAACATCCACTTGTATTGTTATGCAGGTCTGTTGTATTTCATTACCCAACCCTTGATAAAGTCAAAGTAGCTCCCTATCCAAATACGCAAGGAGGGCGGGGAAGTCTCTTCAATTGGTGGCCTTGAGCAACTGGCAGTAATTCCACATTCCCGTGGTAGGAGCCAGTAGATTAACCGCCGCTGACTTTTTATTTATCATTGACCTCAGTGGAATAACAGGCTGAGTCATGCCCCAGGCTGGGAACTGAACTTGCAACCTTCCAATTGAGAGTCAAACCGCAGCCCCAACAGGCCAGATTTTCATGAATAATAGGAAGGATTGTGTGCTGTCACGATGTTGTCTACATCTTATCTGTGACATGATGGAAAGCAAATCATAGCGCACATCATGAATACCACTACACTCCCCCTCCCAACCCTCTGGGTAATCGCATTCGTAGTGAACACGCTCATAGGAAAATATCCAACAGCATAGAAATGCACTTTATATGACTACCGCAGAGACGGGTAAATTATAGGAAGTACGCAGTTCTCACGGAGTACCGCTGACTCTTGTGGAGCCACTCATTCACGGGGTACTGCTCACTAGTGAGGAGCTACTCACTCACGGAGTACCACTGACTCGTGTGGAGCTACTCACTCACGGAGTACCACTCACTAGTGAGGAGCCACTCACTCACGGAGTACCGCTGACTCGTGTGAAGCTACTCACTCACGGAGTACCACTCACTAGTGAGGAGCTACTCACTCACGGAGTACCACTCACTAGTGAGGAGCCACTCACTCACGGAGTACCACTCACTAGTGAGGAGCCACTCACTCACGGAGTACCACTCACTCATGTGGAGCTACTCACTCACGGGGTATTGCTCCACACGTGCTCACTCTAAATTGGTACCTGTCCTGAACGGGGAAAGAAATGGTAGGCCGGAGTAACAGTTCGATTCATGGACTCGAGGTGAAAACCACAAAACCACAGCCAGCCTTAATATATAAGTATGCAAGTTTTCCTGAAGTTTGTCTCAAAGCGTCTGATGACATGAGGCAGCCATTAAAGTGGTGTCAATGTACATTCCCCTGATTAATAGGAAACATGTTAATTAGAAGTGGGTGAGTGGGACTGTGATTAGAATACCCAACTCACAACGAGAAGGCTTGATCGTCTAACCTTGGCTGGGCAATGACTATGCCAATAATTCCCTCAGGGTTGTTAAAATGCGTTCCACATTTGCGAGAATCCTTGCCCGGCAATGCAGAATATCCACCGCCGGATCATGGCCACCGAAGGAGACAAGCGGGGCTTTTTTTAGCTGGTAGATTAAATATAAAGCAGTAGCACCTCTGCTACAGACCCACCATCATCACTCCCACTCTGACCTTCCACCCCTGCACATCCTCTCGGCCTCCCTACAGCAGCTTCCCCTCCATTCCAATAGCCAGCTCTCTTGCCGACTCTCCACAGCCTCTTCCCTACAATCCCCCAGGCACTCCGCTCTCTCTCTCTCCCCCGGTTCCCCAACGCCCCTCTGCCCTCACTCGCAGCAGCCCGTGCTGTAGGCAATCCCACCTCCATCCTTGTCACCGCCTCTCTACACCCAGACCGCATCCCCCACAGCATTTACCCCACTCGGAGAGCGGAGCGGTGGGCCCCAGCGCGTGTTACGGCAACAACATCTTCGAGATTCTATTTAAACAAGCCGGCAGAAGAGGTATCTTTTAAATGGTGGACACGGTGAAAGGAATTTCTCAAAAAATCATTTCGGGGGAGGCTGATAACAAGAAAGCAATCACTCAAGCGGAGAGAAAATTACCACTGGCGCAGCATGAAGCAGATGCTGGAAGTGATTCGCTACCGCTGTGACCAACAACCTCTGCTTGTTGTAAATTGTAAACGGGGGGGGAAAAAAATTCGCACAATAAGGCAACGTTTCAGGAAATGACCCTTATCGGAACAGAGGGAGACATAGGCAAGTCAGCAGATTGTGAATGGAAGACTGATCCTGTGTGTTACAAAGGCTGATCGTGTATAAAGGTTGTGCATGGAACATAAAACAAACTCATTAACAATTATTGCACTTGGCCCCAGCCCAACAACGACAGACAAAGATCCCCTGGTCATGAAGTGTAAAAATAAGTGGCGTGAGTGAACACCTATTGAGGCAAGCATCCCATACGTGCAGGTGGTATGGCCTGAACCGCCTTTGTCTTCCTCGTGCTGAGATATACATACCAGATCAGACACTTAATTAAAGGACATCCATGGGAAGCCCAGGGCAGGTTTAGCTACCACCTGCTCCTGATGCTGTACATAGCCTAGAATTGAACCCAGGTGGCCAGTATCGTAGTGCAGTGTGTAATCCACTGTGGCACCACTCTCCAACATGATCCCAATCTTGCACACAAGGACAAATATTTCCCTACAGCCATACAGACCGTTGGGGCAAGTACTGTGAGCTCGCACCTATGCAGGCCGGCACAGTCGATGAAGGGGTGGTGTAGCCTGCACCACGCCTTTCCACGTTTGTCTCCCAATTTCTGAAGTTTACATTACACCAGGTACTCATTTATTTCGACACATAGAGGAGGCCCAGAGCCGGTCAAGATATCACTTTGCCCACTGACGTTAACCGTGGCTGGGAATTTAACTCGGAGGACACTGGGTTCGTAGTGCCGTGCGTGGCTATGGTGGCGAGCGAGAGAAGGGGGGGGGGGAGTGGAGGAGCCGACTCGCGAGACGCAGCGAGTGGGACGCTCACCGAGGTCGCTGATGACGTAGGCCTGGTCGCGGGCGGGCAGCAGGATGGGCCCCACCTGGAGGTGGCCCTCCTGCTCGCGGTACAGCAGCCGGTGACCCCGCACCGCGCCGCGCCCCGACGCCGCCTTCCAGGTGACGCGCACCGCCGTGCAGTTGAGCGCCTCCAGGTGCAGCGCCGGCGACACGGGGACTGCGGCACAAAGAGAGCACGGCCGTGACCACCCCGCCCTGCACCGGCGTGCTCAGCGAAGGTGCTGCTGGTGGTGGTGGTGCTGATGGTGGTGGCGGTGATCGTAGTGGTAGCAATTGGGATGGTGGTGGTGTTGGTTCTTTTAGTGATCGTGCTGCTGGTGACAATGGTGCCGGTGGTACGGGCTATGATGGTGCTGGTGGTGATTGTGATACTTTTGGTGATGGTGCTGGTGGCAATGGCGGTGATGGAGGTGCTCGCACTAATTGCATAGATGATGCCGGTTATGATGGTGGTGGCGTCTGCTACGGTGCAATATCACCATGATTTTGATTACTCTCGTGGTGGCCAGGAAGTATGCGTGTAATCCAGTGGTTTGCAAACAGGGTTGGGTGGCTAACATATATCATTATTTGCATAAGACATGCCAACTGCATCCTACAGGTCCCCCAGATTCATCCTAGATATATACTCTTCTGAAAACTTGTTAAACCATCCAAAGCAAGGCCCTCCTTACAATGTCTTGAGATTCAGTATGTATTTCCAGTATGATCATATATTTACATAATCAATCTAAGATCAAATTGTGGTCAAGAAAACTCACTATGCGAGAAGACAACAAATGTCATCCAGCTCCCACCACAGAACTGTGCAACATCCACCACTGGCTTAGAGTCACCAATAAACAGGGGCCCCAGCCTTTTCTTGCTGAAGCAGGACAAGACAAAGATACCAGGGGAGGCCCAGGACCGGTTCAGCCAATCGTCGATGGTGGTGGTGGCCGTGAGCGGGAATCGAAACACACTTGGACATACGAAGCGGTTACTATTATTGGTGCCGTTAGGCACAGCCGGAGCCACAGCGTGCGGAGAAGAGAGACGGACAAACTGTTGCTCTACGGAGCGGGAGAGAGCGAGCGAGGGGTGAGCGAGTAAGGGGAGAGCTAGCGAAGAGCGAGGGGAGAGCGAGCAGGGGGCGAGCGAGCGGGGGGAGAGCAACGGAGACCGGTACCGTCGCGGGCGGTGAGCTTTGGCGTGCGGTGCGACAGCCACACGGACGGCTCCCCCCAGCCGGCGCGCGTCGCCGCCGCCACGCGCAGCAGGTAGGTGCTGTCGGGCGCGAGGCCTCGCAGCAGCCAGTCGGCCCGCTCGCCCGGCACGTCGAGCGCGTGCGGCGCCCCGTCCGGCCCGCGCCGGTACCACAGGCGGTAGGCGGTGAGGCGGCCGCGGCGGTAGCGCGGGGGGATGGCCCCCCAGGAGACGCGCACCTCGCGGGGGCTCAGGCTGCTCAGGCTCAGCTCCGGGGCGCGCAGCGGCACTGTGGGTGGGGGGGCGCAGAGTGTGGGGGGGGGGTGGAAGGGGGGCAAGGCGGGGATGGGGATGATAGAAGCGGGGAGGGGGGCGTGAGGTGGCCGAGCGAAGAGAGGATGAGGCGAGGGAAGAGGGAAAGAGGAAGGAGCGGGAAGGGGATGAGGCGGTAGTGAGGAGAGTGCGAGGCATGGCGAGTCGAATTTGGGAGATGCTATTCCTCGGGCGTGTCCTCTGCAGGCTGCGAACAGACGGCCCGCGTGCACAGGACGTGACAACGGAGCGAGGGCTCGTGAAGCCAGAGCCACTTCTGCTCGCTCTCTTGAAACTCGAGTGTGCAACTAAAACTCATTTAGCACTGCGCCAAGTTATCCAGGTCAATACTTGTGGGGCGGTGGGGCTCACCGTCCTCCAGCGTGGTACCCATCACGTGCTCCGACATGCGGCTGGCGCCCACGGGCATGTAGGCCACGAGGTAGAAGGTGTAGTTGGTGGCCGGGTCGAGGTCGTCCACCAGGTAGCGCGACGTGTCGTTCCCGATCACGATCTGGTATTCCTCATTGTTCATCCCTGTGGTGCCGGCACGGGGTGGTGGATGGGGGGCGGGGGGTGAAGGGGAGGAGGTGAGGGATGCAGAGAGCGTTGCTCCTCATCCAGGAACTCAAGAGCGGTTGGCTACGTACGGTGCGAAAGAAGTTCAACATGCATACACACGGCCCTGAGCTCCACTGCAGCACGCAGAGCGATGCGGGGATGGAGTTTAAATTAGATAGATAGGTAGACAGGTTCCTCCCTGGTGCAATCAGTGCGCTGGCATGTCGTCCCTTCCCCCGCACCTCCGATTAGCATGGCTGGCTGCGTACGATACATACCATACGTGCATACTGGGCATGAAGCGGAGAGCCCCTGACAAGCACTGCTAGGCTGTGCGCACCACGGCCTGGCAGTTTGAATGCCACGGAACCCCTCGTGTTCCTTCTGCTCCAATTTGCGCTCATCAACGTCGATTTAACGCCACGTTTGAAATTGTTCTCGGCAAGATATATTAACTGTCTCAGGTAAGAGCCCATTGGTATAGATATATTGGCTAGGAACATCAGGCCACGTTATTGATAATCCATACATGGAATATAGGAATTTAGTTTCTGGTATGTCCACTTGATACATTGACAGGAATGAATCAATTCCATCAATTAATCATTAAGGCTCAACATTTAAGGAACACACAAACTTTTTCCATCCGGTTGTATTTCTTTATTATGAAGCACAACGTCGTGCAAGAGCAATCCGCGTAGGCCTCTTCACAATGCATGAAAATTATTTAGATTATTTTGCTGCTATAAATGTCCAAATGATGGTGCCACTTTGTTGAGCTGTCACTTGTGACCAGGTCGCTTACTGAAAAATAAGACCTCAGTGGGCTTTGCCAAGTAGGATGAGGATGTTTGGGTGATTTGTTCACCTCTCTTGTACTTTGCACTACTGTCATGGTTTATGTACTGTTTGTTGTTTTAACGTTCTTACCCGCCCCTACTGGACACCTGTGAAAAGAGCTTTATAGCTCATCGGATTCCTCCAGTATAAAGACATATTCTGATTCTCATCCCGTCTCAGTGATGTTCACAATGGCTGTCGCAGTGGTGTCCCGGCACTGTTTATAGCCTTGGTTCGAATCCGGGTTTAAACTGCCCTTGATTAAATCGGGTTCTGAAGTCGAGCGAGAGTTTGGACATATTTCATGTTATTTCACGAAATGCGTCCCTTTAAGACAACTGGCCAGCCGCATGGAATGGTGTTCGACCTAAAACGGTGTACCATCTAAAACGGTGTACCATCTAAAACGGTGTACCACCTAAAACGGTGTACCATCTAAAACGGTGTACCATCTAAAACGGGGTGCCACCTAAAACGGTGTACCATCTAAAACGGGGTGCCACCTAAAAAGAATAACATTTAGAGGTCTGCAGAAAAACTTTCTGTAAAAGGCATAACTTCTCTCGAACACAAAGTGAAGCACTGCGCACTATGCTAATTACAAATCGAGATTCTAATTTGTCAGCACAATTGGAATTTAACTGAGATTTAATGAAAGAAAAAAACACTCTGTGCAAAAACATACACACACACATAGTACACACACACAGTACACATCACACACACAGTACACATCACACAGTACACACACACACACAGTACACATCACACACACACAGTACACATCACACACACAGTACACATCACACACAGTACACATCACACACAGTACACATCACACACACAGAGTACACATCTCACACACACACACAGTACACATCACACACACAGTACACATCACACACACAGCACACATCACACACACACAGTACACATCACACACACAGTACACATGACACACACACATAGTACACACAGTACACATCACACACACACACAGTACACATCACACACAGTACACATCACACACAGTACACACACACAGTACACATCACACACACACACAGTACACATCATACACACAGTACACACACACACAGTACACATCACACACACACAGTACACATCACACACACAGTACACATCACACACACAGTACACATGACACACACACACAATACACATCATACACACACAGTACACATCACACACACCCACACAGTACACATCACACACACACACGCATTAACTGACAGGTTAATCAATCAGATCAACAGAGCTTACAGTGAGGGAAAAAAGTATTTGATCCCCTGCTGATTTTGTACGTTTGCCCACTGGCAAAGATATGATCGGTCTATAATTTTAATGGTAGGTTTATTTGAACAGTGAGAGACAGAATAACAACAAAATCCAGAAAAACGCATGTCAAAAATGTTATAAATTGATTTGCATTTTAATGAGGGAAATAAGTATTTGACCCCCTCTCAATCATAAGAATTTCTGGCTCCCAGGTGTCTTTTATACAGGTAACGAGCTGACATTAGGAGCACACTCTTAAAGGGAGTGCTCCTAATCTCAGCTTGTTACCTGTATAAAAGACACCTGTCCACAGAAGCAATCAATCAATCAGATTCCAAACTCTCCACCATGGCCAAGACCAAAGAGCTCTCCAAGGATGTCAGGGACAAGATTGTAGACCTACACAAGGCTGGAATGGGCTACAAGACCATTGCCAAGCAGCTTGGTGAGAAGGTGTTAACAGTTGGTGCGATTATTCGCAAATGGAAGAAACACAAAATAACTGTCAATCTCCCTCGGCCTGGGGCTCCATGCAAGATCTCACCTCGTGGAGTTGCAATGATCATGAGAACGGTGAGAAATCAGTCCAGAACTACACGGGAGGATCTTGTCAATGATGTCAAGGCAGCTGGGACCATAGTCATCAAGAAAACAATTCGTAACACACTACGCCGTGAAGGACTGAAATCCTGCAGCACCCACAAGGTCCCCCTGCTCAAGAAAGCACATATACATGCCCGTCTGAAGTTTGCCAATGAACATCTGAATGATTCAGAGGACAACTGGGTGAAAGTGTTATGGTCAGATGAGACCAAAATGGAGCTCTTTGGCATCAACTCAACTCGCCGTGTTTGGAGGAGGAGGAGCTGCCTATGACCCCAAGAACACCATCCCCATCGTCAAACATGGAGGTGGAAACATTATGCTTTGGGGTTTTTTTCTGCTAAGGGGACAGGACAACTTCACCGCATCAAAGGGACGATGGATAGGGCCATGTACCGTCAAATCTTGGGTGAGAACCTCCTTCCCTCAGCCAGGGCATTGAAAATGGGTCGTGGATGGGTATTCCAGCAAGTCAATGACCAAAAACACACGGCTAAGGCAACAAAGGAGTGGCTCAAGAAGAAGCACATTAAGGTCCTGGAGTGGCCTAGCCAGTCTCCAGACCTTAATCCCATAGAAAATCTGTGGAGGGAGCTGAAGGTTCGAGTTGCCAAACGTCAGCCTCGAAACCTTAATGACTTGGTTAAGATCTGCAAAGAGGAGTGGGACAAAATCCCTCCTGAGATGTGTGCAAACCTGGTGGCCAACTACAAGAAACGTCTGACCTCTGTGATTGCCAACAAGGGTTTTGCCACCAAGTACTAAGTCATGTTTTGCAGAGGGGTCAAATACTTATTTCCCTCATTAAAATGCAAATCAATTTATAAAATTTTTGACATGCGTTTTTCTGGATTTTGTTGTTATTCTGTCTCTCACTGTTCAAATAAACCTACCATTAAAATTATAGACTGATAATTTCTTTGTCAGTGGGCAAACGTACAAAATCAGCAGGGGATCAAATACTTTTTCCCTCACTGTATTATCAACTCGCTTGACTAATTTGTAATGTTATGACAGCCCTAACAGTTTTTACTCAATGGTAAAACTAAAATTAGGGACAGCGTTGGCAATGGCGCATGCCAGCTTCTCTATTGACCCTGACCCAAGCGGAGCAAGTGTGTGTGTAACATGCGTGTGTGTAACATGCGTGTGTAGTGTGTAACGTGTGTGTGAAACGTGTGTGCAATTTATGTAACGTGTAATGTGCGTGTGTAATGTGTGTGTAACGTGTGTGTGTAGTGTGTAACGTGCGTATGTGTGTAACGTGTGTGTGTAGTGTGTAACGTGCGTATGTGTGTAACGTGTGTGCATAATGTGTGTGTGTATAATGCACTTACTAAATATTTTCTAAAGCATCTTATAATTTGGAGAATGTGTCCATGTGTACTGCTGCTATATGGCAGTGTTCGTGCTAAAGTTGGTAGCTATTTATACATTTTCCGCGAATATTCGTTTTCGCAGTAAGGGAGCGATTTATTGCTTTGTGTAATCCAAATCGTATAATTTGCTTGTAGCTTTTCAGCAGTGTGGATGTTGCATTTGTTTTTTTAGCTATTTGGAGGGCACTGGAAAACCTGGAGGAACCCCATGCAGAACCAGAGGGGAACATTCAGTGCCCACACAGAGAGGCCCCCAAGTCGGAATCAAACCCTGGCCCTTCTTGCTGTGAGGCTCCAGGGTTACCACTGTGCCACCCCGCCGACTATTTCATGGTAACGTTCAAAAATAACTTCGTGATTTACTTTACAAAAAAGAGAGGATCTCGGTTTAGAACGGCAGGCAGCCACCAATCCCAGGGACTTCTCGCTAACGAGCGGTGGACAACCGATATGTCGATAATCAGCCGGTCATTTACCACACACGCCTCTCCTCATTCCATTTTTGATCTCAGCAGCCTCCGAGAAGCGCTTCCCAACGTTTCAAAAAAACGGGGGGTATTACCGCATTATTTTTCAATACCGTCGCAATCTTCACGAATAACCGCGTGAGAGGCCTCCGAGACGCGAAGAGCCACGCCGACTCACGGCACCAACACCCCCGACGCTGCGACGCCAATGGCGAGGGCACGCAGGCGAGGGTTGCGAGAGTTGCGAGGGTTGCGAGAGTTGCGAGAGTTGCGAGGGTTGCGAGGGTTGCGAGGGTTGCGAGGGTTGCGAGAGTTGCGAGGGTTGCGAGGGTTGCGAGGGTCGCGAGGGTTGCGAGAGTTGCGAGAGTTGCGAGGGTTGCGAGGGTTG